GTTTCAGATAATTGGCCCAGCTTTTCCTCCCACTTATGCCAGGCTGGTTTATGTCATTCAAAATTAAGCTGGGCACTTATTTTTGTTATAAAGTATTTGTTAATAGAGTGATTACTTTTAAGATTAAGTAATACAGAAACAGTTCAGTAAATATGGATCCTTCTTTTTTCAACTCCCTATAATCCTATTTGTACTTCTCTTCTGGCTCTTATCATTTTATAATTCATTCCACAAATAAACGTATGCATATGAAATAGAGATAATGAAGTAATAAACTTTCTGTGCTTGCTGCTGTCTTAGGTTGCAAAGATGAAAGACACATGGGGAATTGCAGTTTAGTGCAGTACCTCTTTTTTCTGATTATAGCACACAGAGAAAGTGGTAATATTTTATGTCACCAGGGAGTTAAATGGAGGGGATCTGAAGGATCTTTATATTGGGTTTGGTGGAACAATTACTTCTATTTCTTTATATCACCTAATTATAATTTGCTAATATCAAAAGACAAAATAATTAACAAACAAATGAAAATAGATAAAATTAACAAATTCAATTGTTTTACATGGAAACACCCACTACCTAATATCATTGACAATACTAAACATACACACTTCCTAAATTAGTTTTAAAAATGTGAAAATACAAGCAAATTGAGTCAAAGGCGAATCAAAATATTTTTAAATAGATATGTAGACTTTAATTGGATGATCTGCAGGAAGATCAGCAGAAATTTAGTTCAAAATAAAAAATACAGAAAATTTCTCTTCATTTGTATCTACTTAAATGCACCTTTAAGGGTATAATTAAAGTTGAATACTTATTTTTATAAAATTCTTGCATTTTGGTGAATAATCCTATGTTGGTAACTGGATACATAAGCAAAGATTGATCAAAAGTGCTTCCTGTTACTTAGAAAAAACTGGTAACGACCTCAATGTCCAACGATAGGGCTTGGTTACCTCAGGCAAGTTATTTAATTTTTCTTAGCATCAGTGTCTTTATAAAATGGTAATAATAGTGCCTAAGCTTTGGGGTTATTGTGAAGAACCACATAGAGCTCATATCACAGTGACTAGTATATACTTAAAAATTGATAACTCTTATTGTTATGAGTTTTTGAAAAAAATCTATTTCCTGTAGTTATATTATTGGTGATCTAGCACCATTGTGATGATTACTTTACCTATTTACTAACTAAATTAGTCTTAGTACTTAATGCAGAAATGGCTTTAACCATCTAATTTTACCTACTAAAAATCTACCCAAAAAATATCAATATCTGGGGAAAGCAGGTTTCCATAAACAAGATATTAATATTATCTTGACTGCGATATTTTCAGGTTATGTCTATTTGTACATTTAAGTTAAAAATTAATGCAGAAATATGAATATGATTGAAATGGCTAAGATAAACTTATGTTAGCCCAATATTTTCGTGATTTCTTACCTCTTTCTGTAGGATTTCTTCTCGAACTTGAGAAACTATAAGAGATTCTTGTTTATCTTGTAGCTCATTAACTTGATTTTGGAAATGTTTTATAAGTACCTAGAAAATTATGATAGAAGTTCTGAGTTAAGAAAGTTCTTCCTTGAACATTATTTGAAAAATATAAGAAAGCCAATTAATGACTTTTGTTTATGCTAAAAACATAAAGATCCTAATATTTTAAAATTACAAAGTTCTAACATAGAAATAGGTTGCCACAGGAATTAAGTTCATTGAATTAAACTCATGGAATAAATTCATTATTTTGTTTCTTTCAACATTTAATATAAAGCATCACATATTACAAATTAATGACTATGTAACTACATGGCTTTTTTATCTCTAGTATTTTTCTCCTGAAGGCTTTAAGATAAACTTCTAAAAAGTGTAAGCATTCTTCTCTGGCTGGTGTGGCTCAGTTGGTTGGA